AACGTGAACTGCAGGAGCAGTCCGCTCGATTGAGTTCGCGAGACGAATACGACACGTGGGTGCAAAAGTGTGACGAGTGCCTCGAGTTGTTGGAAGAACATAGTCGGGCTAAACGACTGCGATTATCGATCGGTATTAGACAGTCATTGATTGCTTGAATCGCGCAACTCGAGGGTTTAAAAAATACGTTGCGCACACGCAGGTGCAGGACACAGCACGAGAGATGCAGGACTCGTTTGGCGCGAGGTCGATACCGCGTTCGATAACCGCATACTAACCGGAATTGTTATCAACGCGAACCACATCGAACCTCGCCAATTTCTCGAGGATGCAAAGACTATGGTGCTCGAGCGCATACGGGATGCAATGGAGAGACACGTAAACGTGAAAGTGAACACTGCGTTTAACAGCGAGTTCGTCGCGGGTGAAAAACGTGCGGTAAAGAGCATCGCTACGAAAAACTGTGAACTCTTTTCCACATCCAACTTAGAGGAGTGGTACGAGTGGCGCATCTTCGAGCTCACTTTAGCATCGTTGGAGGAATTCCAGGAACGCGGTAGCGGGTGGGCATTATCGCGAATACTCTATCTTACAATCAATGTGAACAAATACAATCCGTTGCACGGGATGTCACCTCGAGTTACCGCGTATGATACAGCTGAAACGGGCTGTAATGTCAAATCTCCGGACAATGCATGTTTCGCGTGGGCAATAGTTGCGGCTCTGTATCCAGCCGAAAGACACGCAGATCGCGCATCATCGTATCCTCATTACACGAACGTACTTAATATTCAAAACATTGAGTTTCCCATGAAAATTAATCAAATTACAAGATTTGAACGATTGAACGATATATCCATCAATGTATACAGCATCATGGAAGAAAAGAACGAATTCATTGTTCCGGTACGTCTTAGCGACGGAAAGAGGGAAGAGCATGTGAACTTGCTGCGCATTTCGGATCCTCGAGACCGCAACACGGGACACTTCGCCTGGATCAAACACTTATCCAGGCTCGTGAGTTCTCAATTGAGCATGAAAAAAGTCAGAAAATACATTTGCGATCGGTAAGTACATTTCATGAATTCAATGTATCGGAAGTATGAAACGATAGTAAATTGCAATGTTTTTTTTTTTATAGATGCCTGCACTATTTCCACTCCAACGAGAAGTTAGAGAGTCACGCGGTAGACTGCGAAAAATTAAACGACTGTGCCATCCTGCTACCCAGCGAAGACAATAAATGGTTGAGTTTTAGCAATCACAGCAGGAAGGAGCGAGTTCCCTTTGTGGTGTATGCCGACCTAGAGTGCACACTGGAGAAGACGGTAAGTGAGAAGGAAGAGGAGGGATGTACATCGCACGCGTATCAGCATCACAAAGTATTTAGTATAGCATATTACTTGCGTTGCTCGTACGACGATTCGGTATCATATTTTCGGAGCCGTCGCGATACGGATTGTATTTCGTGGTTCGTCGAGCAACTAGAAAAGTTAGCACACCGTGTAAAAGAAAAGTTATCAACCAATGTCGACATGGAAACTTTATCGAAGGAACAGTGGGCGGCATTTCATAACGCGACGCAATGTCACGTGTGCGAGAAGCCATTTGCGACAAAGGATACACGCGTATGCGATCATTGTCACTTCACTGGACGGTATAGAGGTCCCGCGCACTCAAACTGTAATTTAAATTACAAAAATTCATATCATATTCCAATAGTTTTTCACAATTTATCTGGTTATGATTCTCATTTTATTATCAAAGAAATAGCTAACGCATTTGAGGGGTCAATCGATGTACTACCGATAACAAAAAAAAATACATTCCTTTACAAAGAAAAATACTTTCCTTTACAAAGAACGTCCAAGATACAGCAGATAAATATAAAAATATTGTAAAATTGCGTTTCATCGATTCCTATAAATTTCTCAGCAGCAGTCTCGACAAATTAACATCTTTTCTCACTAAAGACAAGTTAAAAATTGTACGGTCAGAATTTTCACAATTATCCGTCGAAGAATTTGATTTATTGACGCGAAAAGGTGTCTTTCCGTACGAATACGTGGATTGTGTGGA